CTCGTTTAACAATTGTGAAGAAACTCCGAGGACATCTTTATTTTCGGTTGAAAAATCAAGTTTATACGGCTTACGAACGAACGTCGGAAAATTATTTCAGTAAAAGTTACAAATTTAGCTTTACAAGTTATTTAGATTTTTTATTTTACAGATTTTATGCGTTACTCGTTCAACTTTAAAAAGAAAAATCTTTATTATTTTAATAATTATCTCTTGATTCGATTGTTTGTCCGAAACATTATCTATTTTTAAGAGTATAACATTCAGAAAATGGATAATTATACTTCCAATATTTGACCTTCTTCCATCAGAATTAATTATCGATGCCGGCGATATCAAGTTTCTTAACTTTCGATAACGAAACACTTTAAAAAGATTTACGCCGACTAATTCGCCGGAAACCATTAATTTTTCTTTCAATATTGGAAATTGTTTTCGGACTCTTTCCATTGAAGCAGTGCTCATGCGAAAATAATTATACATAAAAATTAGCCATAAAGTAAAGCTATATTAAGTATGATTTAGATTTAAAATTTTCCTTAATCGAAAATATGCGTTTTATAACATTTATGAATATTTATTATTTTTTAGCCATTCTCAAATTCAGTTGATTGTTAAATAATTCCAGATTCGTTCCCTTTTTTTTCTAACTCACATCAAATATTTAAAACACTTTCTAGAATGTAAAACAATAAATTTTGATATAATTTTACATTAAACAGAAACACTATGAACTACAAACTTCAGTTTACTATTTTTTTAATGTTTATATTGATACAAAAAATCCTTTAAAAGACAAGTTTCTGTTTTTTTTAATAATTCTAGCATTTTAGATTTTCTATCTGGCTTAGATGTTATATCAAATGTGGATTTATTTTTATTTATTTTTTTTTATTTTCTTCGAAACAGAGTGAGGTTTTGGAAAATTTTTCAATATAGATTTTTCACAAGAAAATCTTTTATTTGACGAAATTTATATAACTTTCTATATGTAATGATGATTTTTTTAATGAATTGAATCTCTTACACTATATAAAATTTTGATTTATTCAGTCTAACATTTTGTATTCATTATTTTTTGTTTTTCAGTGTGAAATATTATGATTTTTTAGTAATTAAATAATTATATTCATTCATTTATTATTGTATATTCTCTTTGTATTTGTAAATGTATTTTTTAGTAAATTTCATATCAATAAATTCCCACTGGCATAATCTGTCCTTCCTTAATCTCGAGAATGAAATTAGATAGTTGAAAATCAAGATCAGATATAGCAAGCTTCAGGATCCACGACTGACTATATACGAACTTCGTGATTGGACCGGAAGTCACTTTATTTTAATTCAAAAATTTTCTCCAGAACGGAGTTAGATGATCGCAGAGTCTATTATTAGCAGGTAAAGTATAATGTAAACTACTAAAATCAAAGCATATATTTTAAATTAAATAAATTAAAAATTTCAGCCCTGCATTGTGACGATGTCACAATAAATAATTGTTCGTTTTACTTTATTATTCATGAAGAAATTCAAAAATCAAATAACTTGAATTTAAGATGAAGTATCTTAGTAACCTATAATTGAAGGCATCAAAAATATTTGATCGAATCGGATAATTATGACTCTCTAAATGTATAAAAAAATTCTGATTGACTGATTAATAGTTTTTACTTTAAATATTATATAAAAAAATTAAAAAAATACTGTTTTTATTCCATAAAAAGTTTACTAGATGTCACGCGTAACTTTATCGCTACGAAAACTTTTAGCTTGATATATAATTTCGAATTTTAAAATCAAAATTCTTGAAATATTTTTTACTGTTTTAAATTTTAGTATGCTATTTAAGATGTTACATAGGTATAGCTTATAGAAGAAATATACTTAAGACAGGGGGAATTTTAGGTTCAATCCCTTCCATTTGGAAAGAGTTAAAAAAATGAAAATTAAAATTTGACAGTATATGGTACTGTAAAAAACATATTTATTTTGTATCCATTCAGTATCTCCTTATTTTACTGTATTGAATTGCTCTATACACCTATATCGTAAAAACTGATATATTAAGTTATGAAAAAATAATGCTTTTTTAAAACCTTACCTTTTCAAAAATTCTGCGCACTGGCTATATACATAAAGATTATTATATATCTATAAGATATGAACAATATTTCAAAAATTAAATATAAAAACTTTATATATTTTTCGGAAAATTTTCAATTTTTAAGAAAATAGTAGTACAACTAAACGAGTTTTAAAAATATATCGAGATAAAAGTACTGAAATAAAGTATGTCTTTTTCTAATATTAATTTATTTTAATCAATTAATTTTAACCATCTGCCGTTATATATTTTTATTCTTTATCTAATGATAATAGTGAAACGAAACGAAAGTTACTAATCTTGACGTTTATAATAGTATTATAAACTGATTAATATAAATTGTTTGTGCATGTTTATGCTCTTAACTCTATAATCGATCGTGAAAATAATGTCCACTTTTCTACCAAAGCATTTTAAAGCTTACGTTAAGTTTTAAAGAAGAAATTAAATTATAGGAATATGTTCCTCAAAGCATATGTATTGTGATTGATTTCATATCCTTATTCTAGGTATATAAATATCAATCAATAGGTAATTAAGAATTAGAATTCATAAGTTTAGATTGGCTATCCAAAGAAATGTATATCTAAGTCATAGCATTGGCACCGATCAAAGAGTTTCTTTGAATGATGATTAGGTTATAATAGATTATTTTGCTCTTTCGGATAAATTTTTTTCTGTTTCTTTTAATTATCAAATTCGAATTCATGTGCAAAGAATACAGAATTACATTACTCAAAAATACAGTTGATATGAAACTTAATTTTAAGAATACTTCACATCGAGGAATTACAAGAACGTATTCGCTGTCATCTTAAAATAAATTTTTATGTATTACATAAAGAAATATCAACGTTTTTGTTGCTATTTAAATGTCAAAGAATAACTGATATTAAAGTTATTATTCTTCGTACCGTTGACTTAAAAAATTTAATGAAAGAAAATTTACCATTATAACTACAAAAGATGATGCCATTTCCTGTGATTGTAATGTTAGATTTTTTCTTATTAAATTTTTGTCTGTTAAAATTTCTTTCAGAACCTAAGAACCAAGCAACAAGCCCCCTTATTTATTTAATTTTAATCATTCTAAAACTTTTTAAAAATTTATTTATTAGTTTTAAACAGTCCACAAGTTTGACATCTCCACACTGTTACATTATAAACACGAAATAGCATTATTACACAAAACAAGAAATAAGAACATTATCGAACTACCATTTTTATAAACTAATAGATTTAGATATTTGAAAACATCATACGACAATTTTTACGAAAATAAACACCATCAAAATTTACTATGTGAATACTAAACACTTCCATTTTCATTACGAAGATTTAGAAATCTTTTCAAGATTCATTTTGTTCTTTAATTTATGGAAAACAATCCATTTATTCTCTTAATAAGTGACTCGTGTAAGCTACAGCTTTCAATTATTTGAAATGTTTCCGAATCTATGCATATTAAAATAACAAAGTTCTATTGTATTCTATTGTTTTATTGCATAAGTTAAGTTGTTTTAATTAATATGTAAATGGTAAATTTTAGATGTGCCGACAATTTTCAAAACATTCGCTTGTTTGAAATTGAACATTCATTTTATTAAGTAGTCGTCTTCATTTGGGTTGTAGGTACTACAGTTACAAAAATTATAGATTTAAATAAGTTTTTTTTATTATTTTGTTTAGTTTTGTTATCTTTCAATCGAATTTGTATAAGGTATTGAAGTATCGGAACATGACAAACCAAACAGAAAATTTTCTATATAGTATATTGGGTCTGAATTGGACTCGAATCCGGAGCCTTATGGTAGTAGGATGATATCTGGCCGACGAGTATGTTTAAAACATTGTTCTTTCGATGTAGCAAATTAATATTTTATATTTTTAACGCAATCGACAATTAAATTATCATATCCTATTTATGTATTATTAAATAAAATATTTTGTTAATTCGTTTCTAAAGGATCATAGGTAAATAAGATACAGGCTATAAGATAATTTACTATTATTCAACCTTACCATTATTCAACCGTTTCTGATTACTCTTTTCGATTATTTAAATTATTTGATGTTGATAGAATGAAATGAATGCGGATTCAAATGCTAAATCGCTCATCTTAATTGCTTCGGATTAATCTGATTATTTGCAGGATTGAAATGAAATGAGATAACAAAACTACTACTTTATGAGTTTATCCCCTCGATAATCTTCGTTTAATGGAAGTGTATCAAATTAATCAATTGAATATAACTTCAAGACGTCTAAAAGTTTTGTTTTACATTATGTTTATATTGTAATTAATACGATTTCTAAATCGCAAATATAGAAATATTTACTTAATAGGAATTTAAAATTCAAAATTTGTTTTATTTCCAATTACTACTGAAAATTTTAATATTTTAGAATTTATCTTTAGTGCTATTCATTCTAGTAATATTTTGTAGTTAGATCATTTAATTACTACTAAATTAATTCATTTGTATTCNAATTTATAAGATGATACAGAAGAGAAGTATAAAGGAAAATTAAGTTACATGACTTAAATAATATAAGAAAAAAGTTAATTTTCCAACAAATTGAGGAAGGAAAATATGTATATAACAATTTTTAAATTCTTTATTTGCTAATTTCTTGAACAAAATTTATAAGATGATACAGAAGAGAAGTATAAAGGAAAATTAAGTTACATGACTCTAATAATATAAGAAAAAAGTTACTTCTTTCAAGTGACGATGAAATTTTTTTATATTAAAAACTTTCGCACGTCATTGAGTAATTACTATATTAAGATTGCTACTGTAATTATCATACCTGTCATTTTAGTTGACAAAATGTCACACACGCTCTGTTACACTTCCCACAAACTGAACGGCGGCTGCAACATAAACTCACCTGATAAATTATTTTACTACTGGTTATAGAATTTCCAAGATGAGGAGTTGTTCCGTTTTGATTTGGAGGCTGAATAAAACAATAAGAGGTCGGTAATTTTTATTTTTCGAATTAATATAATAAATTTTGAAATTTATTAAAATAATATAATCATTAATATAAAATTGAAAAGTGTAATATCAATTAAGGTAAGATATTAAAGTAAAGAATTGCCTAAAGTGACAGCGTAATGGCAAAGAGTTTAAAGTCCATCACCATAAAGGGACTCATACATCAAGCCACTTGAGTTTATATGGGCGAGAGGGTTATCAATTTTGTAAGGTTATCGCTTAAAAAGCGTGCACCTACCTTAGAAGTGACTATGTCACCCAGATACATTGGATTGATTGTTTCGGGCTGGAAATAAATATTCATGTTAATAATATCTGTAGTAAAGTGTACTCAATAATTTAAGCTTGCATTTTTATTTGGAAAAGGAAGGTTATTTTTAATATATTTTCTATATTAAATGATAAGTAACACTTAAAATAAAACGGTATGTATTAAAATATAATTCAGATAAATGAGCATTGTGCAGTGTATACATTTTTTGCAGGTTATTTAAGAAATTACTCACTTTAATATTTGCTTTATCGAAAGACTTGCGTCCAAACCAAGACTTACTGCTGGGACAGAGAAGCATCAGAAGACGTTTCGTTCCTTTCAAAAAGTAGAATATCGATTTAGGACTGATGATAATGTTGAAAGGTGGTGGAAGAGTGCACCCTTCATCGAAATAGCCCATCCATAGTTTGGATCGGGCAAATTTCCATTCTCTGTCTGCGTGATCCTATACTCCGACAATGAAATCCAAATATAACATATTATGGATCGTCTTCGTAATTAAAAAAAGTATGTATATATATATATCTTAAAAGATAAGTATATAATAATTGTTAAAATAACAAATTTCTAAAAGGGGGAAAATATATTAAAAGTTAAAGAATGTTGCAGAATTGACATGCTTGAATTACGAGAAATTTCGAAAAAAATATAATTTATAATTTTGAATAATTTAAAAATTATGATAAATTCTTGCGTTATACATAAAATAGAAAATAAAAAATAGCTCTGCGAAAATTTTAAAATAATAAATCAAACTAAAACCAGATGCATGCAAAAATTACAATGGATATATTTAAATTTAATATTTTATAACATAAAAAAAGCTTACGAATAAAGGGAAAAATGTCTTTCACAAGCGAAAGTAGTAGAATGCATATAGGCTTTCTATACTTCTACGAACACATAGAGACTGTGTGACATGCTGAAGTGTTTTCTCCGTCATTTTTCAATTTTAATAATCATTTTAACATGCAAATAAATAATTTCAAAATGCAAATTTAAAGAAAACTTATCCGTCATTCCGATTAAATAAAATTAATTTATCTTTGGTCTTAATTTTTCTTTTTTTTATAGTGAATTTTTAATGAACAACAAAGAAAATAATCAGGGCAATGTGTAATGTCTGCATTCACTATAAAATATTCCAAAATTAATTAATTAATATTAGAAAATAAATTAATATTTACTAATTTTCATGAATTGTTTACAATAAAGATCATAATTCATTTTTCTTTTCGTGAATTAATACGCGTGGAAGTTTATCTAGACAGAGTAAGAGTGATCAAATTGTCTATTGTGTATTAAAAATTAAAAGAATTGTTAATAGAAATTTAAAACAAATATTATATTTAAACAATTTTTTTAAAATATTAAAGTATAATAGAAAGCCTACATGCAGAACTATTGTTATAACAATTCAGTAATTCGTAAACGATTAAATCGATTCGCTTGTGAAATGACACACTCCATTTATCTTTGAAGGAGATCCTGTTATCCTGCTAACAACATCTACTTTCATAAAAGCTTTTCGTTTATTTGTGTTCTCGGATTATTTCCAAATTTTTTCAACATCCAATACACAAAAATCCATGCATTTAGTTATCGTTCTAGGATTATTTGAATAAATTGTTTCCTAATCAGCTGACAATATAATTGCAGTGTGAAATCGGCAATATAATTCTTCGCACTAAAAGAATCGTATTGGTAACAGATACGAGTAAGAAGAACATAACATCTCGCTAATTGCAGACATTACACACGCACAGATCGTCAATAGTGAAAATAAAGGCGTTAGTCACTAATTAGATGTGCAAATTTGGCCGCACCCGATAAATCTAGTACATCAATAGCAGTGATAGGGCGTACCTCTATAACCTGGAACGATTTCGTCATCATTGCTATTAGCATATTAACCAGTACGACGATGGCTGTCACGTGGTAGGACATGAACAGGCCCTGTCCCACAGTCTCTATAAATACATCGTCTTCCACTAAATCGGTGCTCTTAGGTGAACTAATCCCAAATAAGGACCAGAAGAGTGTGGCAAAGGTATTGCCTATCCTGTCAAGGTTAGAGGAAAAGGAAAAGCAAGAATGGTGAAATACAAGAAAGTAAAAAATTTATAAAGTTGTAAAAATTTAAGAATTTCCGAAATGGTTAACGTGCTTTTCTTCATTTTACAATACAAAGATATACAGAATGGTCTAAAATTAATGATAATAGCCAAAGCCAAATAATTCAGCATTGAAAAATAAGTATAAAATGTAGAGATTTTCTCATTTTCTCATAAAAAGTATTGACACAATTTCTTTTTGTATTATTTATTTAGGAAATTATTCTTTCATGTTTACTTTATTTAAATATTTGATCTAAACAAACGTATTGTTGGACTATCTAGTTTGTTTGTCACGTTTTTGATATCTGCCACATTAAGAAATTAGGAAAAAAGTCGTTTTACACTTTATATTTACTTTTCGATATTGAATTATCTTGTTCTTGTCATATAACATTATGTTTGGACCATTTGTATACACACAACTTAACTTGTATATTATTTTGTCTCTCTTCATCATCTGCAACAATCTATGATTTTACTATTAAGAAAGAGACAAGTTTGCTATTGTATTTTTATATTACAAAAAAGTTACCTCGATATCCTCAAACGATCTGCTCATCATGGCAACGAGCATATTAATCATTAGAGTCATAGCCATAATCATGTAGGCACCGAGCAGTGAATATCCTACCCATTTGGTAAACTTTTGGTCCTCTCTAGATTCAACATCTTTGATGGGAATCACGCCAAAGAGGGACCAGAGTAGTGCCATGTAACTAGCATCCATACTGTAATAAAAATCCGTTAATGCTGACTACATTTTTTATTGTCGTATTTACTTTATATCTGAGGTTTATCCTTTGATATTTATAAAAAATAATACAGTTCGGAAAGGTTCGTGTAATCGAGGACAAATGGCACCATCTGTCCTTGTTCTTAAGTATCATTTATCCTTGATTACTCCAATCAGAAAGTTTTCTGACAATTATATTTTTATGTAAAATAATTCATTCAAAATTATTGTTTTGAAAATCAAAACAAACAAGGGGGTAAATAATAATTTAAATGGCGATAACTTTATAACTTTTCGTTTATTGTTAAATTTATTGCTCTTTTGTATAAATGTGAATAATTGAAATTTATAATTTGCTGTATATTAGTTACTAATATTCAAAATTTTCAGTGTTTTTTTCTTTAAATAAACAAACATTCATAAATTTATAACTGTAAAGATATATAAATAATTTCATAAGAGATTATCTCGTAACTAGTACTGCCATAAATGTATTCATATCAATTTTTAATTTTAACTCAATAAAAACGCAACTATGTTATTTAACACTATAATAAATTTATGGTTAATATTATGCAGTTTTACTACAGTATTGTTTATTCTTAATTTAAATTTTAAAATTTGAATCCATAAATCACATTTGATTCTTAAATAACATCTTGAGAAATGATTTATTTAGCAAACAAAAAAAGTAAAGAACTAAAAGATTAAACGAAAATAAATTGTAAATAGGATTCGGGTAGAAGTTATTAAAGTACAAAATAAAATAATTGCTCGTTCCTTACGTTAATAGTGAATTCGTTACAATAATGATTATTGCTATCGCTCATATCGCTCAAAATTGGACGCAAACCAAATCTATAGTCCTTGACCTTCTAAATCTTTCTTGTCAAACTCATTACCTATAATTTAGAAAATTTGGCAATTGAATAATAAACAGCATAATAAAACATTTGTGTTACGAATTATAGTTCATGTTTGAAATTCCTAAGAATTTTGAAAGCGACTGATTGAAATTTTATGCATTCGAAATGATTTTATAAATAAACGACAATAAAAGTATTAAGTGCAAGAGGACATTTAAAAAATTTAGCAACACAATAACCTAAATACATTTATATATATGATCCTATTATTCTTGTATATTCGTTTTCAGTCCTTTTAAATAGAATAATTAGTGCAATATTCATTTAACGATTAAAATTTTTCTTGTCATAGACATGGCGTCAATATAAAATAAAGAATTCTACAAAAACTATCGAATTTTGCATTAAGGAAAACTTTCTACAAAAGAAGTCTTTTTATAAAAGTTAATTAAGAGACGTGTCAAAAGAATATATTATTTTTTTATTTTTTATTTTTAATTTCAGGCATGTTTACTTAAAAGAAATATTTCAAGAAATTCTAAGAATATATTCAGAGATAAGAAACAAAATCTCAAATGAAAATTTAAGCTCGTTTAATTGTATTTTTATATTTTTCACGAAATTATTCTCGCTTAATTTAAAAAAAAAAAAAAATTTAAATGCAATTTCGCAGCAATTACACCCACATATTATGTTTTCTATGGTAGAAAATTTAGAATAAGCTGTTTACAATGAGCGATCTACAAAGTAAATGTGACTGTAGTCAGTCGGTCATTCCTCAGATTGAAAAGTTGTCTTGACAGCTCTCAAAAGCTTTCTACCTCCAAATCCATTGTGCAGTTTGTCGATCGTAGACTTGTTCTCTGTTGCCTAGCAACAACTCGTGCATCTGAACAGAAGCAGAATGCACAAAGAAAATTCAAATCAATACAAATATAGAAGCTACATTCTCTGATCATCGAAGTAATTATATTATACTAGTAAAAGAAAAGAAAAATAGAAAATAATGAAGCGAAAAAAAAAAGAATTATCAGTATTCTCGAATTAAGTAGTATTGATATTATGATTTTCTCTTAAAGTTAAAGAATAATTTATCGAAAAGTATAAGATGATGCCACTGTTAAGTTATAAGAAAAGATTATGAAAAATTAATCAATGACAAAAATAAATCATTTTTTTTTTAAATATTTAAAGTAGATAAAATATAAATTACTTTTAAAATTAATATAAACAAGACCTTTTATCTATTTTTTTTAATATTTAATATATATATATAGACTGTATTTTAATATAAAATCATATTCAAAATAACAAGATTCAGTTGAGCAGACGAAATTAATTTTTTAAAACTGGAAAGAATTATTTACATAATTAAAGAACAGAAGAGTTGAATTAACAAATTTATAAGTTGAAAAGTTTTATGATGATATTTTTATAAAAATGTGTTCAAAAACATGCGGCACCGTACGATATTGGCTAGATAAATAAATGGCTTTCCATTTTTGTTAAACAACAAAATGGGAAAATTTAAGAGAAACAATTTTACAAAACAGAAGAAGAAATACAGGAAACAATGTAGTTGGATATCTCATATCTGTAACTAGAAATAAGAAAGAGGTTTGTTGTAAAAATAAGAAGTATTTTGAAAAATTACAGAGATGAAATGAATTTATAAACCTGAAATTCTTTTGTAGAACGGATTTAGTGTAGATACAATTCATTAAACTCTACAGAAAAACACAGAAAGCGTCATATTGGGACATCGAAATTAGTTTTTAATACTTAGAATTATATCGAGTTCGAAAATATTTAAAATATTAGTTGATAGAGATACATCAGAAAAATATTTTTAATTTTAATAATTGATACGAATATTACTGATTAAATTCGGCGAATTTATTCATCGTTGTAAAAGTTTCTCTCGAATTACCCTTGGCATTAATAGCAACAGATGAAATAGTTTTTTTTTTTATTCGTAGAAAGATTGTTTAGAACAAAATAACAACATAAAATTATTACTGTTACTCGAATAAAATATTGACAAGATGCGGTGGCGTCAGCTGGATTTCGTTTAGTTTTCTATATATTAACGCGTCAACGAGAAAATAAGCTTGGAAAAATATTTTATTCTCCTTCTCACAAGTTGAATTTGTTTTTTTAACATCCGTTATGATAAACACGATAAATGCTATTATTTTTCAGTTTATTTTTTTGCAAATCTCCCTCGTTATGAAATTGTACGTATGATATTTATTTGGAAAAATATTATAGAATATCGACTAGGTAATACTTTTTCAAATAGCAATATTTTGTAGTCGAGTAAAGTATCTTTTAACTTACGTTTTGAAGGAAAATCCTGGATAGATCGTAAGAATCAAACTTATAATATATTTGAAGTAAAGTCTTAGCGATAAGAACGAAAGGAAAGCAGTTAAAGAAACCAATCTCCCGCTTCAATAAATATAAACGTAAAAGACTACAAAATTTTAGCATTTATAGAGTATTAGCGATCGTACCTGAAGGACTTTACTTAGATAAGCTTTATGCCTACAGGTAGAAACTGGCTTTAAAATAACTTTATCGTGTGTGGAAAAAAAGCGGTCCCACCGGAAATATGGTCATAAAAGCTAGAGAATATAGTTGTTAAGTGTCATCCCGAGGTTTTTTTGAAAATGGAAAAGACATTATCACCAGAGATAGCTATTAAGGGTCTACGATTCCACGCCCTGTTGATGTTAAATCCGTTTTCCTCTCTGAACTATTTAACGATCAATGTCTGATCTGTTTAATTTTAGAACGTAGAGTCCTTAAAAGGAGAACAAGTTCTTAAATTATTGATTGTTCTCGTGCAACTGTTCGATTTATTGATTTCATAGCATCCGGGAAGACATTTTTCAACCTGATGATAGCGACGTTTAAATGTATTATTCTTAATAATATTATTTTTGAAATTTCGATCTGATTAAAAAGATTAAATATAATAATAAAATACTTACGTCATGAAAGAATCGGGATTGCTCTGGCAATTTAAAGTAACGTTTTCACCCTTAATCACCTTGGTCTCACAGTGCTTCGTGCTCGAGTCGTAATACCAGTACAGCTGGTTCAAACCACAAGCGAAGGACGTGAGGACGAGGAAGAAGATGAAGAGAAACTTGGCAATGTCGATTATCATACAACCGAGTGATATTTGGAGGGGACCAAGGTGAGGGTTCGTCTGAAATAGGTAGATAATTCTTGCGAAACTAAATACGTTGGCCACGGCGAACACGCCCTCGGCGATGAGGGTGGGATCGTTGTCAGGCCAACGAGGTCTTTCGAGCACTCGAGGACCGTATTTCTCGCTTTGGATTTGGAAATATGCGACGGCTTTTAGTGAAAATGTAGCAAGGTAGAGAGACAGCATGATGAAGTCCAACCAATTCCACCATTGGCGGACATATGCTTTGAGTCCTTCTTCCCATAATTGCTTGCACTCTGCCCACACCATACCTATAAAGTTATAGCGAATATTATGTAATATAATTAACTACTCTCGAAATCTCTTGAAAGTTAACTGAAGAATTTTCACACCTGTTACCCAGAAAAAAATGAGCCATTCTACAAAAGAAGGAGAAGGACCACGAATGTTTTGCAACGTTCGTTCGGTTCCCTCCGTTCTAGTAGAAGCCAGCACCAATAGGAGCAGGAAAAATCCAAAAGAGGCACTGAAAATATTAAGTAATTGTTAAAAATGAATCATTTTTTGGAAATGAACTTATAGTAACAAACCTGTGGTAAATAAACTTCATAAATGGTGATCGGATAACCTTTCCCAGTTTCGAACGTGGGAAGATGAGGTAGTAAAGCGCTATGACAGGCATACAAGCAATCAACCCACAACATAACAAGATTTTCATCACGCAGTTCCTACGTCTCCACACCGGTAGACCTTCGTACCAAATCGACGTTAGTAATTGTTGGCAATTGGGATGAGCTACAAACTATACGAAAAAAAAGGATAAAATAAACTGTACGTTTAATATTCATACATTTAAAATCTTTTTTGACAAATTACAATATATCTTTGATAATTTTTGAGACGAATCGAGAAGCATTTCTGTAAAAAATAATGTCAAATGTACACGACACTTTGTAAAACGTGTGAGACAAATTATAATTCTAATAAGATCTAAAGCATTCTTTCAAATTATTATGAGAAATCTTGTTAAAATTCCAGATGTTTTGCAGTTAATCTTTCAGAAATATTACGAAAATAAATTCAATTTTTCTCTTACTTTCTTCAATCGTGAACAATGACAAGAAGCAAAATTATATATTTTTAGATAAAACGAATTTATATAATTTTTGCAAATATAAATTATATAAATATTTAAGTTATAGCTTTTTTTTTTCTTTCTTTTCTTACTTCATGAAATTCGGCATTTGAAATTGAAAGCGTACAATGACTAGAGACAAAAGGATGTCTATAAATTTTCTTTGGAATTTACAGAAACTCCGTAGCAGCTTCATTTTTATCGCTGGTAATTCTATACTTTACGAGATGTAAGTACGAGCTATAATTCATTTGATATTCCATATTACTTGATTCATAAAATATTTATTCTTTCTTTAGACATATGTTCTAGAAAAATGTGCAACAGTAATAGGTAATTCTCTTTATTTATCTGGTTTATTTTCTATATTTTGAGAAATAATTCGATTTATAAGTCTTCTTATTTTTTTTTATAATTAAATTTCAGTTTAAAATTCAATAAAATTATCTGCTTCATAATTCTTTCAAATTACCGCACATAGAAAAAAAGATTAAAGTACTTTTATAATTAAAGAAGTTTATATTAAAAATATTTTGTTATGAAATTAGTCTGGAGCGAAGCAATGATTATTTTCTCATCATATATTAAAACGTTGGAAACAGATTTGATTGCAATTTCATTGTCTTAATTTTCATATTTTTGTATCATTAACAGCAGCAGTTTATCGTTTACTCCATTTTTAAGTCATTAGAGTAAGACTAAAATTATAAAATAAGATACCGACGTTTCTAATTCCGCATTTCTATATCAGTCATTGAAGTCTGCAAAGTCATTTTCAAAGAAAATTAGGAGGAAGCGGTTAAAAAATTTATCGGTTATCCTTTTTCGTAAAACGGTTTATAACAAATTTAGCAATTTTTTTTTTGTCTGTTTCAAAGTTTATATTTTTAAATGTAAGACATCACGTATATCGACAACAATATTGGAAAATCTGGAACAATGTCTGACACTGAGCCAATTTTGCACAAGACACAATAACAAGGACATCGCAATAAACATTCGTTATTGCAGATTTTTTTATTATTTTTTTATTGTATTTTGTCAACTCGTCGTTCTGGCGACAGTTTTTTTTTTGTTTCCTTATATTTCTTTTAGTTGTAGGTCATTAGTTGGTGGTCCTTTTCTTCTCTCCTTATTTTTATATATATTTTTTTCCTTTGTGTGATTTCTAAATGTGATTAATTACTCTTGATGGCTTTTGGTTCATATACAAGTTCTACGATTTTGCTAATTATGTACAGCGATCGAATAACGAAAGGAATAAAAAATGTAATTTAATGACAATTTTTTTTTTAAAGTTTAATAAGGAATATTGTTTTGGCTCGATTGTCACCAGCGATGAGATATTGCACTGTTTCTCTTTAATATCGTTTGAGTACGAAATGTTATATGATGGTATGATTGCTGTGACAACGGAAATAAGATCATCCCTTTACTTGTCATTCTCGTTCTGTCAAGTGCAAGATGCTATTTTGAACATCTGATAAAAGATATTCTCATTTGCTACTCGAGTTTTAATTGTATTTTTATAAAAATGGTACTTAATTTTTGATTTCTTCCGTATACGCTAAGCTAATTTTATATGTATTTTGATAAAGGGTGACTGATTACATAATATTTGGAAAGTTTTAATTATCAGACAGATTAAAAAAAGAAATTTAATTAATGAGTTATTGATAAATATATTATAAAAAGTAAAAGTTAATTTATAAAATAAGAATATAAATGCGGTTAAAGTGCCAAAAATAATAATAATGAATGTTCTCATCATTCTTTATGGAATTCTGGTTTTGAAAACTTGAAATTAATTCTATAGATAATATAAATTGTTGAAGCAGTATATTTAAAGTTTTCTGTTAAATAATTAGAAGAAGTTGTCAAGAATTTGGATTCGAGCTACCAACTTCCATTGCCAGTTGATCAAATGCCAATTCTTGGTTCAACGAAGTTAGTTCAACTTAGTTACAGCTTTGATTACTATTGTCATTACCTGTTTCTGTTCGTATTTAAGGGCAAGCTTTAATCTCGATAGGGTAAGTTTCTCTGGATCTTCTTCATTTTCGTCCTCTGAGTCCGAATCGGTTTTCTTATTCAGCACAGCGATAACTTCTTCCGTACTTCTACAAAGATCTAACAAATCGCAAGAATATTTTTTACACTGATTACTGAGTTCCAGATAAATTTCCTTAAATTCGTTCTCCCGCTGTGCCAGATGCTCCAGTTCCCAAGATAACTGAAAGAATATTTTCCAAATATTGTGTTATTATATTGCTAAATCGATATAATTAATTTTAAAAATGAAAAATTGTAGCATTCCATACATAGAAATATCAAAATGTATAAATAATTAAACTACGCGACTCTATCGGAAAATGTTTATTGCATTAAACGTCTTATTTTCACATAGAAAAAAAAAAGAAAAATTCTAATGCTTTCTGCTTAAATGAAATTTTATTTTTCTTTTATTTTGTATATAAAATGCGAAAATTTTGCTTAAACAAAGTTATAAAATATGCGCATTTTAGCAATGATGAATTATTTGCAATAAACTAGCGTGGCAATTAAATCTAACTGTTGTGAGTTTATTGAATAATAATTCAAAATTATTCGCAGAAGAATAATTAATATAATCATCATCATCATCATCATAAAAAGCACTAATTTGTTTACATACGTTAGAAAACAGTGGCGCATTATTGCTTTGTGGGGCCCAGGCGAATCTGAATTAGGGAGCCCCGTGCATATTTTTCTTCGGGAAACTTTTTTGGGAAGAAATATTTTCTTATAAAAAATTGGTTTGGACCCACCATCAGGGGCTCCAAGCCCCTGATAGTGGGTCCAAACCAATTCCTTTTCCCACAGGATAACGAGCTACTGTTAGAAAAACCAGAATACTAAATTATAAATATGTTAAACTAAGTTTTATCGATAACCATTTGTAATTTAGGATTTATATTTAATCTAGATAAATATCTTTTCGACTGGTAGTGTTTGATTTACAAATTAAAAGCAGTTTAGTATCTTGATCATCATCATTAAGGTTACTGGTTCCAGTAACTAGACCGAAATGGATTATAACATGGATGGTTAAGCTCAAACTAACTTCTACAGTAATAATTGAAGTAAGTGTTAAGGAGTAAAGTGGGTCAGTTTAAATAACTAAATCAAGTAGCTGAGATTCTCCGAATGTTAATTTTTTTTTAATTTTTTATTTTTGTTAAATCGATTTGTTTATGTTCTAGATTTTATTTCGCTTTTTCTGTGATCATTCAAAAATTAAAATTTCCAAACTTTCGTATTATTCTTATTTAATAAAAATGATTTTAATATAAAAAAAAATTAGTTTTCATGTATCAAAATAATTAATAAAATCAAACACTAATTTATAATTCTTTATTAAAAGTTAATATGTTTACGTATAAGCTGATTTTATTATATTTACATCTGGTAAAATAAATTTAATTTTTTTTTTTTTAAATTAGGAAAAATTGAATATGGAATTTAATAAATGAATAATAGTTAAATTTTTTCGTAAATTATTTTTATAATGAATGCATGACTAAAATCAATTGTTTCCAATTAATTGAAGTAATATATGGGACAAACGAATTTAGCAATGTCCATTAAATACACTTGGCATTAACTTGATGGACATGTACTTGGTTCTACTTAAAAAGAGAAGAATGTGTTTATATCTTGTCTTTATGTTTGTTTCCTTTCTTTGGATTTATTTAGGAAATTTATTTATTAGGTTATTTCTTATTAAAAATTTTAAAATAGATTTAGTAAATCGTGTGATAAGTATTTTCTATGCCTAAAATAAAACCTAAAAATTATTTTAATTTAATAATATTTCAGAATCTTTATTTTAATTAATTGCTGACGTCCATCTATATTTCTTTTAAATCGGAGTTGTGGATAATGAGCATCATATTTTTTCTCTAAACATTTTGATGTAAACAATTTTTATTCGATTTATTTTTTTAAATCAGAAAATAAATATAAAATATTAAAAGAATTTTATTAAAAAATTAAATAAATAGCATGCTCTTCGGTGTAGTTTATATATACAGTAATTATTAAACTATTAATTAATACTAATTAAATGATTAACTTTTTAAAATTTGGATAAAATAATTTTAAATAAGCAACAGATAGCTTACCCTAAAAGCTGTAAGGATTGGATCTTCACTAGTGAGGGACATCCAGGCGGGGCTAGCCAATGCTCGATAAGTATGAATTCGTCTTAGAGAATAACGCAAACTATCCGTATGCATGCCTTCTTGACATTTCTGACATCCACAAGACAGGGGATGGGGATTATCTATGGTGGCCCCACGTGACAGGAGAAGCTGAAGAATTTCGAATTGGTTACAATGAGCAGCCAATATAACAGGAGATATGTCAGGACAATAATCGGAACTCTCTTCCCCTGGTTGTCTGGTTTTCGCCCAATCGTTTGCCAACATTTCACTCGTGATACTCGGATGATTAATAAGCATCTCTACAATCTTATAAACACCCTCACGAATAGCATACAGGAGGGCGTCTCCTATCTTCACGTTCTCCTGTTGCAACAACAGTTCAACAATTTCAACATTTTCGTTGTCGACTGCTATTTGAATAGCACTACGACCCAGAATGTTGGTGCAATTCACATTCACCGGATTCGGTGGTTGAAGGCACCTGATCATCGTGTGTTTGTCTCCCCTTTCAGCTGCTTCTAAGAATGTTCTCTCCTTAGGATCCATGGATGGTCCGTCCTTTAAGGGCTCTAGTGGGATGGGTATGCGATAGCGATTACTACTTGTCAGAAATCTCGGGTCTTGTTTAACCATGTTTGCGATTTGGGTTTCGACATTTAACGCGGAGGACATCATTGTAGAGGTTTTGTCCGGCTCGAGTCAATATGGAGTGTGAATTGGATAGTCGTAGTGGATCTTAGTTCATCTGAAAAGATTTAAAAAATCGAACAAAACTTCATTATATAAATATTTTGCTATTTCACGTCGGAAATTAAGAAAACAATCTTAAAGATGAAATCTGTTCAATTAAACTTCTAATATTCTACTTTTCTTTTATTTAACTTTCATCAGTTTTACATTTGTTTAATGAAATTAAACTAGTTGATTTATTTTTTAAAAACGAATTAATTAATTTTCCTTCAAACTAAGCAATTTTCCTGTCCAATAAACGTTTTCCGGCGCAGTTCGTTTCCAACGATATTTAGTCAAATTCATTTCTTTTATTCGGTTATTGAGTTAATTAAATGGATTAAATTGATTTGCATTAAATTATATCTAGAAAATTCTTTAAAAATATTTGCAATTAATCAATGAACGTTTTTTTAAGAATTGTAATTAACTGCAACAGTATAGTTCTTCAACTTAAAATTTTTAAATAATAAATAACATACAGCATATGAGATTCATTTATTAGATTGATATTTAGATCTTTATTAATTAATTATGCAATTCTTACAATATAAAAGGAAAATAATTAAAATTTCTAGAAACAACTAATGACGTTTTATAATATTTATTTACAATTTAATATAAAATGTGTTATGTTTAATTAAAGACTTTGTAGAAAAAAAATAAGTTAAATTGAAAAAAGAAACGATTCTTTTAATTATGTACATATTAAGTTCCTGTTTTCCAAGTGAAATATAGTATCTATGTTCCGATTCAGCAGAGAGGATTTTCACTTTAGGAAATTTAAATTAGATGCAGATTGACGTGTTTAGTTGTTGCAATTATATAAATTCCTTTCTAATTCTTTCTGTTAAAATTTCTCTCTTTACGTCGCATTCAACAGAATGGAAAAAATTTTTCTTATTTTAAAAAATATGTAAAAATGAGCAAGTAATTATTTAAAAAAAAAATCAAAATGACATGCAGTACGTAATTAGAAATTCGTATGTTTAGTTTTGGTTATTTGTAAAGAAATCTTCTTATCGGATAAACAGAACCGAAAAATCGAATGGAAAAAATATATTAAAAAATAGGACACTCAAGGACAACCGAGTCGAAACTGAAAAATTGAGAAAAGGTAAAAATAAAAAATGAAAAAGATACAGCCGCACTGATTAGATTACAGTAAATGGTAGAAAGAAATATGAAAGTTGCAGAATGGAACATTGAACACTAAATGGTTGTTGTCAGAAACGACGATAGCTCGAAAATATTGGATATAATGACACAGAAATAAAATGAAAAAGAAAGAAAACAATTCTTATGTACTCATAAAATAATGCCTTTCATAATCTAATTTTTCTAAAAATTTTTCTATTCGCCATCGTTAAATCTGTTGAAACTTTTCCGAATTAATCCAAAATTATTAGTTAAAATAATATTTATATAAATTCTGAAAAAGTCTTTCTTACTCACATTATGTAATTAGAACTAAATTGAAAATTAACAACATAGAAAATTTAATAGATAGTCCTATGTACAGTACTGTACATTTATAAAGTTGAATATTTAGGACACGGAGCATAAGGAACTTCTAAATGGATTTATATTTGGGGCAGAAGAGAATGACCTTTTTAATTTTGTTCGATCGATTCAAGTATAAGATAGAAATAAAAACTGTAAAAAAATTATATTGTTATATGGGAAGTATGTTGAACTGTTTGTTGGCATAAGAAATGACAGTTATTACAAGCGACCCATTTGAGCGAGTTTTATAAAATCGGAAACTTTTACTTTAATTTTTATTTCCACGTATAATTTTTTAAAAAATATTTTACTGAAGACTGCAGTTATTCTCATTCTATTTATATCTCTATTTATCTCTTTTCACATCAGTTTTCCGACACGACACTTCAAAATAATGAAGAAAGAAGCGCGTATTTCGGTGTTAACTATTTAAGGAAAATGAACTTTTATGCAATTTATAAAAAAATTTATTGGAAGAAAGTCCAGATTTTTATTGATTTTTTTCAGCGAGAAAATTTCAATTATTTATTCCATTTGAAAACCTATAATAAGTTAGTTTTAAATTTACGAATCAATTTTTTCAGGTCCAAAAAAAAGATAATAAATTTATTCTTTTATAATGGCATACTTAGAATACGAATATTTACTCTTAAATATCTAACACAATTACTGTAAAAGTGAAGGAACTCTCATTAGCATTTCAATGAATGCTTTTTATTTATAATGAAAAATAAATAATCGTTTAATGAATTCTATTTTTTTTTATTTTACATTAAAATTACTTTAAAATTGCATGTCTAACTGGAAAAAATAAGTAAATTCTACAATAAAATTTCTTGTTTTCTCTACGTTTCAGAATATATGCATATATATATATATATATTTTATATAAACAATAGAGAAAGTTGTTTGGTTTAAAGCAAAACTTTATTTGCTTTAAAGAAAACAGCAGTCAATTCTTAATTGCTTTTAGCAATTGTGCACTTACCTTCAGTTGACTTTTAAAGGTTAAACATTTCAGTCATAGTATACTTTCACGAATTGCCTTCATGGAAATTAACATAGAGAATGTTGGTGCGGCAGTTTCGGTTCACAATCCAATTTTGTGTGCTTTGTCAGCTGTTAAAGCAACAACGATACTGTCAAGACCATAAAATTAGATTAACTCGACAGACAAAGCCAAAACCTTACATGTGAACTTTGCTAACACCTACAGTAACAATAGAAGACGTTTTCTAAATTCCAAATTTATATTAAATATAATCACATAAATTAGAAAATTCCCGAAGTGATTATTTTTTGCAACGTAATTAATTTTTTTATTTTATTTTATTTTTTAAATATATTTGTTCGATTTTCGTCTCCCTTCTTTCTATTCATATATCTAGAAAACAAAATTAACTCAGGACAAACTTGCTATATTTTTTTTTTAGAAAAGGAAAAGAGTAAAACTTTATGAAATAATTGCTTTTAAAGTAAATGTGTTTTCTATGTTACACGTCAAAAGATTTCTTAAGTATTATGCAGAAGAAAACGTTTGCTAAAAATGATTTTAGTGCCGAGTGAAGTAAAATTCAAATTGAAAAATGTTACGATACGGTTGATGAAATTTCATATTTTTCAAAATATGAAATTTTAAATTAAATTACCATATTTGATTGGTGTAAAATTTATTTATATTATGCTTAAAATTATTTTGCATAATAAACTACAGTAGTTTCGATTACTAGTGAAAGAATTTCATTTTTTTTATCACTCGTTATAATTCTAACAATCCAATTACAAAATTGCTTATTACTGTATATACATCGAATTTAACTTTAATTATTTATTTTACATTTGTTTTAATTACTATTAACATTAATTTCGTTTCGAGTTTTTGTCCCTTATCTATTGTTCTAATAAAACATAAAGAATAAGACGAATATACATTTTAAAACTCTGATCGTCTTAGCTGAAGTAACGCTAATTTACAAAATCTATTAAAATAACTGTAAAAGTAATGGATATTTGAAAATATATTTGAAATTTTCTTGATTTTTCAATTGCAAATCTTCGATTTCTTAGCATTACAAGGAGTCAAATTACAAATTAAACCGAATTAGTTAGTGAAACGAAATTAGAAAATATTATCGAAAGTTTTCTTCCTTCAAATTAATTTTATTATATAAATCGCACTCGATATGTATTATATTTGAAAAGATTTTTAATAATATAAAATATTTATAGAAAAGTAACAAAACAGTAGCAAAACTAATGAAGGAAGTAATAAATAAATTATTGCCAACAGGTTGCTTCAGTAATGCCATTTTTCACCAATATCCTGTCAGAACTAATTACTATGTTTGTACCAAATTGTGGCTGTTCCTGTGTAAAATCAATAAAACAATATACCAAATTTCATAATATTAGACTTATACAAAGTAACCCAAAAATCAGTTTACTATTATTAAGACTAATTAGTTGTCTTAATTAAATACTTTATTATTTAAAAAGTTTATATAAAATTATTAAAAAATGACACCCTTCTTTTGTTCGATACACAAATTATAACACTTTAACAAATTAAATTATAATTGTTTTTTAAATCTTTTGTTAACGAACGATTCCTACAGTTAATTGACTTTTGGGCCACCCTAAACTTGTTGTTATTAATTAAACTTTTTAATAAAGAATTTTTTATTCCGAAATACTTTTTATACAAAGTAAAATAAAGAAATTACAAAAAGGTTTTGAAGCATTATAATAATGAACTTTTGTCAAAAAGAAAAATATTAATATTAACAATTTGCTCAATCATTGTTTACGTTTTGAGCAATTGTTTTATATCAAAAAATGCAACACCATGCAAATGTCAAACAGTAAATGAATCCAAGTTACAAATTTGATTTATGATCAGTCTTATTGGAATTTCAGGAAGAAAAAAAAAACAAAATACAGTTCAATTGGTTATGTAAATTGTAGTCAACAACTTGATCTTCGATAATATTCATTCTACAGTGTAATTAAGTCAAAAGGGGTAAGTATTCATCATCACTGATCAGAAAAGACAAAACTTCATGATTAATTACCTCAGTGAGCAGTTGTTTGGAATACTGCCCATCTCGAACATGAGGGGAAAAAATCAGATCATTAGTTTGCATATTTTTTCTACACAATCTACTAAAGGTAATCTTTAAAGTTGAAATTTTGAAAGGATCTGTTTCGATGAATAAATATTTATAAACTCTTGTATTACTCTTTGTGTTGGGCTATGTCCAATCGATTTGACGTTTCACTTCAAGTTTTCCAGTTACAAGCTTGCTTGGCAGATGCAATTTTGTTTGCGGTTGATGGATCCTAGAAAAACCATAACATTCCATTCAGGTCTTTCTGAAACACTTCTTTCAAGCAATATACAGTGACTGATGGATACTTTCTTACGTGTTATTTATGTTTCTCGCACTAAAATCCATCTCGGAAAAAAAAAACTTGATTTTTCAGTTTTAAAATGGAAGCAAGATCTCTTTT